TAACCAAGGAGGTAAAAGACCTATATGCAGAAAACTACACAACACTGAAGAAAGAAATCAAGGAAGACACAAACAAATGGAAACATATACCTTGTTCATGGATTGGAAGAATTAACATCATCAAAATGTCCATACTACCCAAAGCAATTTACAGATTCCATGCAATAACTATTAAAGTACCAATGACATACTTTGCAGATATAGAACAAACACTTCAAAAATTTATACAGAACCATAAATGACCCAAATAGCAGCTGCTCTTTTGAGAAAGAAGAACAAAGTAGGAGGGATCACAATACCTGATACCAAACTGTATTACAAGGCCACTGTAATCAATACAGCCTGGTACTGGCATAAAAACAGGCATATAGACCAATGGAACAGAACAGAGAGCCTAGAAATAAACCCAAGTCTCCTATGGGCAACTAATATTCAACAAAGAGGATAACAACATAAAATGGAGTAAAAATAGCCTCTTGAACAAATAGCATTAGGAGAATTGAATAGATACTTGCAAAAAAATGAAACTTAAGCACAGACTTACACCATACACCGAAGTAAATTCAAGGTGGATAAAAGACCTAAATATAAGCTGTGACACCATTAAAGTCCTAGAGGAGAACATAGGCAGGAAAATAGATATTTCATGCAGCACGATTTTTACTGATATGTCCCCTAGAGCAAGGGACATAAAGGGAAGAATAAACAAATGGGTCTCATCAAAATTAAAAGCATTTGCATGGCTAAAAAAAAAACAGTATTAAAATAAGAAAAGAACCAACTATATGAGAAAACATACTTGCCAATGATTCCTCAGACAAAGGTTTAATCTCCAAAATATACAAAGAACTTACATGACTCCACTCTAAGAAGACAAGTGACCCAATTAAAAAGTGGGCAAAGGACTTGAACAGACACTTCTCCAAAGAGGACATACAGAGGAATCAGTCACATGAAAAGATGCTCCATATTGCTAGCTATCAGAGAGATGCAAATTAAAACCACAATGAGATTCCACTTTACACCGGTCAGAATGGCCATCATAAACAATACAACAAACAACAAGTTTTGGAGAGGTTGTGGAGAAAGGGGACCTTAGTTCACTGTTGGTGGGATTGCAGACTGGTACAAACATTATGGAAAACAGTATCGAATTTTCTAAGAAAACTAAAAATGGACCTGCCTTTTGACTCAGCAATTCCACTGCTAGGATTATATCATAAGAACCCTGAAACACCAATCCAAAAGAACCTGTGCACCCCAATGTTCATAGCAGCACAATTTACAATAGCCAAGAGCTGGAAGCAACCTAGGTCCCCATCAGTAAATAAATGGATCCAAAAACTATGATACATTTACACAATGTAAGTCTATGCAGCAGAAAGAAAGAAGGAGCTCCTACCCTTTGCAACAGCATGGATGGAACTGGAAAGCATTATGCTGAGTGAAATAAGCCAGGTGTCGGAAGAAAAATACCATATGATGTCACCTTTAACAGGAAGCTAATCAACAAAATAAACAAGCAAGCAAAATATAACCAAAGACACTGAAATAGAGAACAGGTGGACAGTGACCAGAGAGGAGAGGGGAGGGAGTTTCAGGGGAAATGGGGAAGGATTTACAGGAACTAGTATAAAGGACACATGGACAACAACTAAGGGGGGGTGGAAATGGGAGGGATGTGGGGAGCATTAACGGGGGTGTGCTGGGATGGGAGTAAAAGACAGAAAACTGTACTTGAATAACAATTAAATAAAAAATGATATAAAGACTAAGTGTGAGAGCCAGAGGGAGTTTACAAAGAGGCCCTCACTTCCAATGGTGAAAGAGCAACAATGAGGACGTAAGAGAGTTGTAAAACTCCAAGAAGATACTCAATATTTTAAAAGGCTACAGGTCTGCTTTGCTGATGTCAGGACAGCATGATTTCCTGTGGCTAGAAAATACTGGGACCATGAAACATGGGGTGGGAACATCTGGCCAGACTCCCTTAATGCCTTTGGCTCTGCAGATGCCCCCACCCAGCTCTCAGTTCACAGAGGGCCACTCTTCCCTAGTAAGAGCTAGCACTTGCCCTGTGCTGGTAGTTGCTGCAGAGGCTGCTCCTCCCACAAGCAACTGATGCTCCTCTTCCTGTTACTAAACTGATAGTCGGGGATTAAATCCCAGCATAATATGGCTGGGAAAGTGTCTGGGCGTAATAAAGAATATATGCCAAAGAGTTGCAACAATTAGCTGACAGGAATACGTAGATTGCCAGAAAACAAGGAAGCACTGGGTTGGGATTTTGAGGGGGAATATATCAGCAGAGCCAAGAAACCGAGAATTCATAGACTAGGGGTACTTTTTCCAAACAGAGGATTTAATGCCCTGGCAACAACCAAAGGGGGTGGCAACTCTCTACTAAGCTGGCTTTTACAGGCCCAGAGAAAATGATGGCCACCAGTGAACAAAGGAGAACCACCTAAGTTGTCCTTACAAACTGCAAAAAAGAAAAAGAAAGAAAGAAAGAGAAAATGAAAAAGAAGAAGAAAAATATGAAAAGGCAGACGGAAGTGGGCATGCTAGAGTGAATAGGTTATGAGATAAAAATCCCACCAAAGAGTACTGTTCCACAGCAGGGCCCAACGGGCACCAGCATCACTACACCCAGGCTAGGGATGGCAGTAAGAGATGATCACAGAGCTGGGACCCCGGAGTAATAGTCACACCAGGTAGAGGTGCTTACTCACCAGAAGCCAGGAGGCCACAAATACCAAAACAAACCACATCTGAAGGGAAGCCAAGTGGGCTTTACCCACAGGGAGTTGTAGAGATGGTGAATAGACCATGGTGTCCTTAGGAACAATATAGACATACAGCCAACAAGAATATTGCTGAAGCTGTACAAGATGAAAATAAGCGTGGAGGAGCAGGGGGATTGAGGAAGCTTTCCTAAATAAAAAGTCCTGATTCTTCGCTCAATTTCCAGACTTCAGCCTATACTCAGATCTGGAAGAGATAGCTGGGTCCTTAGGAGGAAGAGCAATGGAGTAAGTGATGATTCCCCTAGTATTTCTCAAAGGGACTTAGAGCCACTATGTGTACACTGGGGAAAGGACAGCCAGACATTTGAGGTATACTGGACCCAAGAGCAAAGCTGACATTGATACCTAGGCACCTGAAGCTTCATCATGGCCCTTATTACACTAGGGGCTTTGAGAGCCAAGTAATAACTAGAGTGCTAAGTGAAATAGGACTCGCAGTGGGCCTGCAGACCTGCCCAGTGGTAGTTTCTATGTCCTTAAGTGTATAACTGCAACTGAGATGATGGTCGAAAATAACCCCCATGTGGGTCCCTGGCCTATTGGGTAAGAACTGTCACAATGAGGAAAGTCAAGTGAAAACCTCTAAAACTGCCTCCCTACCATCATCAATGAGAGTAAATTGTATAGTTTCTTTTCTGTGTCAAGTTGGGGCTATAGCACCCAATTTGTCAATCAAACACTAACTCAGATGTTTCTGTAAAGGTATTTTGTAGATGTGGTTAACATTACAATTAGTTGATTTTAAGTAAAGGAGGTTAGCCTCCATAATTTGGGTGGGTCTCATCCAACCAGTTGAAGGACTTAAGAGCAAAATTGATATTTCCCTGAAGAAATGTTGCCTGTGGACTGCAGTGTCAGCTCCTGCTCGAGTTTCCAGCCTGCCAGTCCACCTTATAATACCAGATTTGCTTAACCAGCCCCCACAACTGCATAAGACATACACGTTCCTTGCCATATATAAGTAACATCCCAGGGTAGATGGAGCAGATCAGTGCTACTACTGAAAAGCTAAAATACAGAGTGATAGCCTCCACCACATATTTGGGAGTTCCTAAATGACCAAATTAAGGATCAGCTTGAGCTTGGTTTACAGGTAGGTCACCTCAGCATGTGGGTACAATGAAGATGAATAGTGTCTTCATTAAAGCCACCTGCTGGGGTGGAAAAGGAAAATTTTCACAATGGACAGAACCACAAGTAGTGCGCTTGACTTGGTTTAGAAGTGGCCTGATGTGAGACTATTGAATATATAGATTCCTGGACAATAGTAAATGGCCTGGCCATCTAGTTCACCTGGAAGAAGGGCTGGAAACTCAGAGAATAGGCGGTCTGGTGTAAAGGCTGTGGACTGACATATGGGAACAGGCAAAGTGTGAAGATTTCTGCCATCACATAATAATGCCTATCAGAGAGCATCCACCATGGGAGAGGCACTAAACCACCAAGCAGACAAAATGATTCAGCCAGGTGAACAGGCCTTCTTTAATGGTTACCAAACAACTGCCATGATGGACACACAAGCAGAGTGGTCACATGACTGATGAAGCCTCTGCAGCAAGAACTTGTGCTTACCAAGGCTTATCTAGAAGGATTCCTCTGAGGCAACTGTGGCTCAAGGACTCACCACTGGTTTTGATGAAACATTCTTAGAATTGACAGCAGTCTACTTCTCCTACCCAACTTTCTTTCTTTACTTCCCTTTCTTTTCCAGGGGTCAGACCTACATCAGAGTTTGACAGCTTTCGACAGAGTCTGACAGATTCCTCTAATTCCCTCTCAGCAGGCATCACCCACCTCCCTCACCCCACTTCCCTGCAGGAAAAAAAAAACCACACGCATCAGGTAACCTAACTTAGTGTACTCACTATAAAGCTCTAGTCCTGTTTCAGAGGGTCCAAAATTCCATTTTTATAATTCAGCAGGTGTGTTAAGATCCTGTGAGCTAGTTCCTACCAAACTCCTAAATAACTGATTGCTAAAACAGAAAGACAACACTGTCAAAATGGGAAAGAACTATCAAGCAGACCAGATAGACATGCAATGGAGTGGACAGGATATTCCCATCCCAGCAAGAACAGCTATGTGAAAAGCAGAGTAAACCCCAAAGTAGCCTGCTATGTCTGGAACACAGAAAGCGAGCTGGCTAGCCAACCCAAATGTCCATCCACTGAGAAATAGATAAACAAAATATAGTAAATCCACACAATGAAATTTTATTCAGCCATAAATAGAAAATGAAGTACTGATACATGATGAAACATGGATGAACCTTGAAAACATATTAAAACACAGTAGACACAAAAGGTCATATATTATATAATTTCATTTATATAAACTGTGCAGAGCAGGCAAATTCATAGAAATGGAAAGCATATTGGTGGTTGTCAGGGACGAGGAGGAGGAAATACAGAATAACTGCTTAATGGGTACAGGATTTCATTATGGAATGATGAAAATGTTTTGGAACTAGATAGGAGTTAAAATAGTTACTTTCAGGTCATGTGAAATTTCACCTCGATAAAAATAAATAAATAAATAAATTGCAAGGAAAAAAGGCAGAGACATATATGAACCAAAAAAGAAAAAAAAGTTTACATTTTCAAATACAGGCAGGGGTAGATAGGGATCAAGTTGATGTTATAAATCATCACATTCACATCAAGCTGTCTAAACCTAGTTAAGCCACATGTCTCTGCTCAATGGGTCTACCTGCCAACTGGAAAGGTCACTGAAAAGGCTCTTATTAACATCTAGAATAAAGGCTAGAATTCTAGAGTTACCTGGCATTTCCCCTTTCCTAAACATTTCATCATCAACCAGGGTCATAAATTCAAGGGCCACACTTATGAACCCAATTTTAGGATATATACTCTAATAAATACCAAGCATATTCCCAGGGAAAATGGATTTTGCTCAAAACTCCAGGACATCTGGCTCTTGAAAGTACAGCTCTCTCAATGACTCTAATATTCAAGGGATGAAAGAATGTAGTCTCAGAGATTTTACACACAGAAACAGTAAAAGTGTAACTGAATCTCACCGTCTTTTAAAAATGCAGTTCATTTTAATTCTATCAACCAGCTGCCTAGGCTGCAGCCTCAGTGACGTTTGCGATCACTGGGATTCAAGGGGTCCGCGTCTCGGGAGTGCCATGCCTTTTTAGGCCTATGGGATTTATCTCGGCTCCTACTTCTACTTCTATGGCTATGTCCCTCGTGCCGGCCAGAATGTGTATCTGAGCTTCGACCTCCATCCCTATCCCTGTTTTTTTCTTCTCTTTCTTCCCTCTTGCTTGAGGACTTGTGCTCATGCTTAGGCTTCTCCTTCTTCAGCTCCCTCTCCCGGTCCTCTGCTCCCCCTCGACAGGCTGTCCTGACCTCAGGGGAGCTGAAATGGTGCTTCCACACCTCCCTGGACTCTGGCTTCTGACCCCTCTCTGAGTTCTTGCCGCTTTGCTTTTTAGAGCCAGGGTCATCCTTCTCCTTTATTGTCTTGCTTCCAGGAGTTGAAGAGGAAGCTGGCTGGTCTTCCAGTACCTCCTGATCAATCTTCTCTTTGTCTTTCTTTCTCTTCTTTTTTTCCTTTTTGTCTGGAGGAAGAAAGAGATGCAATCAAGAAAAGGGAAATGGATCTATAATAAAGTGTTTAAACACTATTAAGCTTAATTCGTACCAAGCAGGATTTTTGCAAACTCTTTTCAGCGAAGGATACAATCCCTAAATTCAAACTCTCCTCATTATATAATGAATGCATATGACTTCGGACATAATAAAAACTATTAGGTGAAAAGAAAAATAATTAAAAATAAATGTTTCAACCCCACCATGACTTCTTAAAAAACACAGAAAGAAAAAGCTAATGGAGCCCTGGCTGGTGTGGCTCAGTGGATTGAGCGCTGGCCTGCAAACTAAAGGGTCACTGGTTCAATTCCCAGTCAGGGCACATGCCTGGGTTGCAGGCCAGGTCCCCAGTAGGAGGTGCACAAGAGGCAATCACACACTGATGTTTCTCTCCCTCTCTTTCTCCCTCCCTTCCCTTCTCTCTAAAAAATAAATAAAATCTTTTTTCTTAAAGGCAAATGGAGGAGATGGAGGCTATGCAAAAGGAAAGCATCCTTGGCAGTAGCGTGATAGTCGACCCTGCCAAAAGAGTGCCTCTGAGAAGCCAAGTTCAATCCGTCACCCCTGACATGCCAAACTGCTGTATAAGGCAATTCCTACAGTTAAATTACCTCTTAAAAGTCCCTACTTCCAAATACAGTAGCTTTCTGGGGTACTAGAGGTTAGGACTTCAATATATGAATTTTAAGGGACACAATGCAACCCATAATATTAGCCTTCTGCTGAAACTACCTCTCCTTTCCCCATTCAAGTAAGGTTCCCCACACCTTCCCCTCCTCCACACTTAAGAATTGATTATCAAGTCTCAGTAAATGCTAGGAAGACCAAAAACTAACACTACCCAGAATCTCCTCTTAGGTCCTAACACTTTACCTTTCTTGTGTTTTTTGGTGGGTTTGTCATCTTCAGAGCTCTCAGATGAGTTCTGTGAGGGGGTGCGAGCCCCACAGCCCTTATTCAGGAGCTCTTTGGTCACAGTATCCATATCTTCTGAGTCCTTAGGAGCCCGATAGTTAGACACATGATCTACTCGGATAGTTCTTCCTTTGATCTAAGATAGACAAGCAATGCTTCAGTCATCCTATCAAACTACATGAACCCAGTTGCAGAGAGCCATGGTATGAACTACACCCATGACCTTCCTGCTATTCTATTTCTGGGAAAATCTATAAAACAGACCTAACCGGTGTGTCACAGCACATACCTAGATATTAATTTGCTCAGCTCTCAGGACAGCCAGGTGGGGGCTTGGGGCAGCAGGATCCATGAGGCAGTTGTACTAGGTAGCCTCCACAACTTGCCCCAGGGTGCCATACTAATATCTTCAGGTTTTATGTGCACCATAAAATGAAAAAGACTGAGAAGTTCTGTCCACAAGCAACAGAGGAAAGTGTGATAATTTCAATGCACAAACAGTGAATTAGCCTCAATCTGTAACATTAATTTATAGTGAAATATACCTTACCAGCTAGAAGAAATCTTGAAATCGAACCCAGTACTACAGTTGCTTCCTCAACACAGCAATTAGGATGAGGCCAAGGTAGACCAACAAGTGGGAGTGGGGAAGGAATTGAGCAAGACTACTGTCTTATTTTATTTTTTCTTTTTTTCTAGCTATATTTAATCACTTTGTTAATTCATCCAGTACTGAAAAGGCCACTGTCTTTTTTTCTTAAGCCCTCACACTTTGCTCCACCCCAACCCTCCCAAAACAACTGGCTCACACTGATACTTTCTATGTGAATCACACTCTCCAGGTGAGAAAAAAAATTTAACCCCTCACTTAAAACAAAAACATTCAGGGAGATACTGACTTATTCTACAGGCAAAGCCATCTGAAATTTGAAAAGCCTGGCTTTTATACTTCTAATACAAGAGCATATTTCTATTCTTACCTTGGGCCCAAACAGCTCCTGTCATCTTCCCTATTCCTCATTTAAAAACATCTTGAAAACCTTCCTTTTATGGTGATTCCCTTTGACTGCTGGCTGTCTTAAAAATCAAGCCTTGCCCTGGCCAGTGTGGCTCAGTTGGTTGGAGCATTGTCCTATAACCAAAGGGTTGTGGGTTCAATTCCCGGTCAGGGCACATACCCAGGTTGTGGTTCGATCCCCAGTCCAGGTGCATACAGGAGGCAACCAATCGATGTTTCTGTCTTACATCAATGCTCCTCCCTTCCCCTCTCTCTAGAAGCAATCAAAAATGTTCTCAGGTGAGGATTTAAAAAAAAAAGCAAGCCTGGAAACCTGTTTCACCCTGTTTTATAGTCTCCAACTATTCCACACTGTGCAATAAGAGATAAACTCTCCAACTCTAGAGTCACCTCCTGGCCTGAGACAATGCTTGTTCAACTTCAGGACTTTACCTAAATGAGTACACGGACTCTGTGGAGCACAGATAAGCCCAACTTTACCCATTCCCTTTTCTTAGCCCAAGGTCTCACTGACAAGGGTTGGATTTATTGGGAACAAAGGGGAGAAAACTTCAGAATGAGTTACTTTTGTAGACTTTGTAATCAGATTTTAACTAGAGACTATCCAGGGCCCAGTACTGATTGCTGTCTGTGGACACGTATAACAGATATACAGAACTGTCCTAGGTCATGAAGCCATGATAGAACACTAAATCTCCTGATACAGGACCACATGGAAGAGCAGTGTTCTGCTAGTCTCTTTGTTCTCCAATAAACCAGAGATAAGAGTGGAATTTTAAGGATGAAAAGGTAAGAAATAGAGGCGGGGGTCAGAGGGATGGGAAGAGAGGAGGCATGGTTCCTAGGCCCCTAGAGAAATAGTTGTTAAGAGATAGGGAAATTAGGACTTCCAGCCAAGATGGAGGCATAGGTGGAAACACTGTGCATCCTCGCACAACCAAGTTCAAAGACAACAAAGTTTTAGTAACAAAAACACAACCAAAACACGGAAAATTGAACTGTACCAAAGTCCGACAACAATGAACCATTCATCCAGATTGGTAAGAGGGGCAGAGTCTGCAGCTGGTGGAGCGGGGTCCCACAGGAAAATGTGGCCAGACCGGACCAACCCACGTGCGCAGGCGGCCGTTGGCAAATCCCAGGTATGGGGTGGCAACGGGCGGATGGCGGCTGGCTGACCACAGTCAAACATTCACACTCAGATAAACCAGGCAAAGGAGCGAGCAGTGAGACAGACCGAGCAGGCTAGGGCCCCAATGACAGGAATTAAAGCCTAAAATCACCAATTGGAAAAACTCTCAGGGTCAAGGTGCCGGGAGAAGCACCCAGGCTCACAAAAAATTTGTTGGAGAGACCCACAGGGTCCTGGAGGGTACACCGGCCCACACACCTGGGAACCAGCACCAGGGGGCCCGGATTGCTTGTGGGAAGCAGCAGAGGGGACTGAAATCTGAGAGAGCACAGAACAAATGCTATTGCCCCTCTCTGACCCCACCCCCAAATTAGCGTCACAACCCAGCAACTGGGTTGCCCCGCCCTGGTGAACACCTAAGGCTCCGCCCCTCATATGTAACAGGCAGGAACAGACCAAAACATTATGGCTCAAACAGAAGAAGAAATCAAAGCCACAGAGCCAACACTTTTAAGTGACCAAGACATAGCCAACCTATCAGATGCATAGTCCAAAACACTGGTGATCAGGATGCTCACAGAACTGGTTGATTTAAGTCACAAATTAGAGGAAAAAATGAAGGCAAAACTAACTGAAATGAAGGGAAATGCACAGGAAACCAACAGTGATGGAAAGGAAACTGGGACTCAAATCAAGGGAGTGGACCAAAAGGAAGAAAAAAATGACCAAACAGAAAAGGATGAAGAAACAAGAATTCAAAAAAATGAGGAGAGGCTTAGGAACCTCCAGGACATCTTTAAGCATTCCAACATCCAAATTATAGGCGTACCAGAAGGAGAAGAGGAAGAGCAACAAGTGGAACACTTATTTGAACAAATAATAAAGGAGAACTTCCCCAATCTGTCAAAAAAGAAAAAAAAAGCCTTCCAGGAAATCCAGGAAGCTCAGAGAGTCCCAAACAACAAAAGAAGTTGGACCCAAGAAGGAACACACTAAGGCACATCATCATTACATTAGCCAAGATTAAAATGAAGGAGAGAATCCTAGAAGCAGCAAGAGATAAGGGGATAGTCACCTACAAAGGAGTTCCCATCAGACTGCCAGTGGATTTCTCTTACAGGCAAGAAGGGGCTGGAAAGAAGTATTCCAAATCATGAAATCCAAAGACCTACATGCAAGATTGCTCTACCAGCAAAGCTTTCATTTAGAATGGAAGGGCAGATAAAGTGCTTCTCAGATAAGATCAAATTCAAGGAGTTCATCATCACCAAGCCCTTATTATATGAAATGTTAAAAGGACTCATCTAAGAAAAAGAAGGTAAAAAAGATGAACAGTGAAAGGAAAGCAAACTCACACTTATTAACAACCATACCTAAAACAAAAGCAAACTAAGAGGCCAGCTGGATCAGGAGCAGAACCATAGAAATGAAGATCACATGGAGGGTTAGCAACAGGGGAGTGGGAGGAGGAAAAGGAGGGAGAAGGTACAGAGAATAAGTAGCATAGATGCTAGGTAGAAAATAGATGAGGGGAGGGCAAGAATAGTATGGAAAATATAGAATCTAAATAACTTGAGACACGTGGAGATAAACTAAGGGGGGAATGGGTGGGGGAAGGGAGTGCAGGGTGGAGAGGAATGAAGGGGTGAAATGGGACAACTGTAATGGCATAATCAATAAAATATATTAAAAAGAAAAAAGGAATAGAAAAATAAATAAATAAATAAATAAATAAATAAATAAATAAATAAAAGTAAAAAAAGAGAGTGATAGGAAAATTAAGGGGAAAAGGAATAGGATGGAAAGCCATGAGCAAGTAGAATTATTTCCTGGTCAATATGTCCCCACAACTCTACAACCCTCACAACATACTCAGCCGACCAGTACTGTACTTGAGCCTGTGGAGATTAGGTGAAAAATGAAACCAAACCATTGTACAGTAAAAGTCTAGCCAACTTCTGCTTAGTAAGAACACTCACCTTGATCCCATTAAAATTGTCCACAGCCAGAATTGTGCTCCGCTGGTCTTCATAGCAGAGGAAACAGAATCCTTTGGATTTTCCAGTCTTCTTGTCCCGTACCAGATTAATGTTAACAATCTCCCCATATCTATTTATTTTACAAAAGAGTAAAGACACTACTGGTTTAAAATGCAAAAACTTTCAGATTGGATGACAAAACAAAATTCAAATAATATATTTTGCACAGGAAAAACATCTAAAGATGACATAGAAAGGTTAAAAATTCAAAAATTAGGTAAGTATATAGCAACAACACCCAATTAAAATAAAAAATAAATTTCATCTCCCCCCAAAATGTCCTAAAACAAAAGTGAAAGTCATGAAATTTTATTCATAAATTTAAAAAAATTTAATTAAAAAACTATTAGAAATACAAAGAGAAACTAAGTGAAAATTATGAGATTTTTAACATACCACTTTATAACACAAAGTTGACAAAAATTAGGTCAGAGGAATATATAATTATCTAATACAAATACACATATGATTAATAATATAATTAACGTGTTAATATATATTTCTGTCAGACTAGTAGATATAGAGATATATTTGAATCTTATAAAAAACACTTTCTTGACTTCCAGCCAGGATGGAGGGGTGGGTGAACACACTGTGCCTCCTCGCATGAGCAGGATGGGGATGGCAACAATTTGGAAACAGGATGGCAACTGGAACTGACAGAGAATTGAACTGTGTAGAGGTACAACAACCAAGGAGTTAGAATGGACACATTCATCCAGATCAGGTGGACCAGGAGAAGCTGGGGAAGGAGATGAGCCATGCAACCCAGGGTCCCAGCGCAGAAAAATGGAGCCTCAAAACAACAATTGAAAATGCCTGTGGAGGTTGGGGTGCTGGGAGGGACTCCTGGCCTCAAGGGAGGGTTCATTGGAGAGATCCACAGGGTCCTGGAATGTACATAAGCCCACCCACATGAGAATCAGCACCAGTAAGGCCCGGTTTGCTTGGGGGAAGCAGCAGAAGGGACTGGCATACAACTGAGAGCGGAACAAGTGCCATTGTTCCTTCTCGGATCCCGCCCTCACATACAGCATCACAACCCGGAGGGGGGGGTTGCCCCGCCCTGGCGAACACCTAAGGCTCCACCCCTTACTACATAACAGGTGTGGTAAGACCAAAAAAAACAAGGCCGAAAGGGAAGAACAGATCAAAGCTCCAGAACAAATACAACTAAGCAAAGAAAAGATAGCCAACCTATCAGATGCATAGTTCAAAACACTGGTGATCAGGATGCTCACAGAACTGGTTGATTTTGGATTCAAATTAAGATGAAAAAATGAAGGTTATGGTAAGTGAAATGAAGGAAAACGCACAGGGAACCAATGGTGATGGGAAGAAAACTGGGACTCAAATCAATGGAGTGGAACAGAAGGAAGAAAGAAACAACCAAACAGAAAGTAATTAAATAAACAAGAATTCAAAAAAAATGAGAAGAGGCCCTGGCTGGTGTAGCTCAGTGGATTGAGCTCGGGCCTGTGAACCAGATAATCGCGGTTTGATTCCCAGTCAGGGCACATGCCTGGGTTGCAGACCAGTTCCCTGCAGGCCAGTTCCCAGCAGGGGAGGCACAAAAGGCAACCATACATTGATGTTTCTCTCCCTCTCTCCTTCCCTTCCCCTCTAAAGATAAATAAATAAAATATATTAAAAAAATGAGAAGAGGCTTAGGAACTTCCAGGACATCTTTAAACACTCCAACATCCAAATTATAGGGGTACCAGAAGGGGAAGAGGAAGAGCAACGAGTGGAAAAGTTACTTGAACAAATAATAAAGAACTTCCCCAATCTGGCAAAAAAAAAATAGACTTCCAGGAAGTCCAGGAAGCTCAGAGAGTCCCAAAGAAGTTGGACCCAAGGAGGAACACACTAAGGCACATCATCATTACATTAGCCAAGATTAAAATGAAGGAGAGAATCCTAGAAGCAGCAAGAGATAAGGGGACAGTCACCTACAAAGGAGTTCCCATCAGACTGTCAGTGGATTTCTCAAAAGAGACCTTGCAGACAAGAAGGGGCTGGAAAGAAGTATTCCAAGTCATGACAGGCAAGGAACTACATTCAAGATTGCTCTATCCAGGAAAACTTTCATTTAGAATGGAAGGGCAGATAAAGTGCTTCTCAGGTAAGGTAAGTTAAAGGAGTTCATCATCACAAAGCCCTTATTTTATGAAATGTTAAAGGGACTTATGTAAGAAAAAGAAGATAAAAAGCATGTGTAGTAAAATGACAGCAAATTCACAATTATTGACAACCACACCTAAAACAAAAACAAAAACAAACTGAGCAAACAACTAGAAAAGAAACAGAACCACAGATATGGAGATCACATGGAGGGTTAGCAACAGGAGAGTGGGAGGGGAGAGAAGGGAGAAGGTATAGAGAATAAGTAGCATAGATGATAGGTAGAAAATAGACAGGGGGCAGGCAAGAATAGTATGGGAAATGTAGAAGCTAAAGAACTTATAACACATGAACATGAACTAAAGGGGGTAATGTGGGTGGAAGAGGGTGTTCAGGGTGGAGGGGAATGAAGGGTGGAAAATGGGACAACTGTAATAGCATAATCAATAAAATATATTAAAAACTTTCTTCTCAAGAATCTATGACACATGTATTAAAACTGACTACAGCATAGGTCTGAAAACAAACTTAGAACCTGAAACCTACTATCCTGGTTAACAAATAAATGAAAGAGAAAATGAAACACACAAAAAGAAAAAGTTAGTTGCAGACTCTTTAGAAAATTACAAAAATGAGAATAATAATATATATTAAAAGTTATGGGATGCAGTTAAAACCATACTCAATAAAAATCGGTAACCTTAAAGAAGTTCACTGTTAAAAAAGTAAAAAATGAATGTAAAAGAAAGCAAATCTAAGGAAAGCAGATGAGAGGTAATAGAATTCTACCTTACTCCTTATTCAAAAATAAATTCCAGATAAGTTAAAGCATCACAAATTAAAAAATAAGTCATGAAAATAAAATAAAATGGGAATTGATGGATACATTATATAACACGATCACATACACACACCTGGGCCTGAAATCTAGCATCTTACTTAATAGAAATTACTAGAGATGATTCAACTAAGATCAGGAACTATTTAACACTATAGGTATTAGCCAATGCAATTAGTAGAAAACAGATAAGAAATGAAAAAAGTAGTAAAACTCTCTCTGTTTTACGATCACATATAGTAGTAGTATAGAAAACCCAAGAGAATCAATGATAAGCAATAATAAAAACAAACAGTATAACAATTCAGTAAGGTGCCAGGATATGAAGTTACCAAAAATAAGCCATCTTCTTACATATAAGCAATTATCAGATTAGATCAATCAGATCAATTTAAAACATATAATTGATGTATAAAGCCTATATAAAGAAAAAATTTTAAGATTTTACTTATTTATTTTTAGAGAGAGGGAAAGGGAAGGAGAAAGAGTTAGAGAAACATCAATGTGTGGTTGCCTCTCACGTGGCCCCCACTGGGGAGCTGGCCTGCAACCCAGGCATGTGCCTTGACTGGGAATCGAACTGGCAACCCCTTGGTTCGCAGCCTGCGCTCAACCCACTGAGCTACACCAGCCAGGGCTAAAGAAAATTTTTTAAACTGCTGAAAGATACAAACATACACTTAAACAAATATAAAGATATCCCTTGTTCTTGAATAGTATGAGTCAATTATCATGAAGATATCAAACTCTTCCCCAAAGTTAATACTGAAATTTAATGTAATCCCCACTTTAAATACAGGCTGTGTTTTCCCCCTGGAGCTGGATAAGTTGATTCTAAAGTTATTATGGAAAAATTAACAGAATAGCTGGAAAAACTTTTAAAAAGTAGGGAGCAGTAACTCTCCCAGATATTATACACACTGAAAAGCTTCTTTGATTAATTAGTGTGGTACTGGCACATGAAGAGACAGCCAGACCAATAAAACAGAATATGGAACCAAGAAAGAGACTTAGGTATATATGGAAAAATAATATACGATAAGGATGACATCCCGATTTGTTGGGGGAAAAATACAGACACTTTTACAAATATTGTTGCAACAACTGGATAGGCAATTGGAAAAAAAACAAGAAATTGGATCTGTATCTCACACTATATATCGATATAACTCTAAATGGATCAGGGAGTTCAATGTATGAAATTGAAACCATGTAAGTACTAGACAAGAACACAGATGGGTGGATAGGGAGAAATACTTTCTAATGATGACTCAAAAACCAGAAGCAATTAAAAAAGACCACATAAAATACCAGAGGGAGAGACTATAAAGTGACAGCATGAGGGAGTTTTTGGAACTGTTCTCCATCCTAATTGTGGGAATAATCACACAAATCTTTCCTGTATTAAAATTCATAGGGTTGTACACCTCCTAAAAAGTCCATTTTAACATCAGATAATTTTAACATATGAATATATAAAATAAAAGCAATAATTCTGCATAGCATAAAATCACAGTAAGCAAAGCATGAAGACAAATGACAAACTAGGAGAAAATATTATTTGCAATTTACTTCACAGATTAAGGATCAGAAAGCTATTCTTTTTCCTTTTGCTATAAAGGACATTATCAGGATAACTGGTAAAGTTGAATAGAGTTTATAGATAATACTGTTGTATCAGTGTTGGTGTCCTGAATTTGATCACTACACTGAGATTAAACCAGAGAATGTCCTTTTGGGAAAATACATATTGAAGAATTTAGAGATCAATGGGCATCAGGTCTGCAACCGACTGTCAAATGGTTCAGAAAAAAATAATATGTATCCGTGGAGAGAAGTAACAATAAAGAAAACATGGTAAAATGCTAACATCTGGGGGCTCTGGGGAAAAGGGATAAAGGTATTCTTTTTACCATTTTATATCTTTGCAGTTTGAAGCCTGAAATTATTTCAAAACAAAATGCTAGAAAGAAGATTATAGGAGCTGGCTTGAAAGGACTCCTAATAGACCAAACTGGAACAATTTGAGCATCAAGAAATAATAATGATGGCACTGCAGTATAACACACCAAATGTTAAAAAAACAAGTCCATAGTAATACAATATATGACAAAGTGTTATAACAAAGTTAACATCCTTAATAAATGAAGGGCTCTTGTAAAGTCAATAAAAAAATGAGGAACACACCACTAGAAAAAAATAGGCAAAGTATATGAATAGACAATTGACAAAAAAGAAATAACAATGGCTTGTAAATCTATGAAAAAATGTTCTACCTCACTGATGATGAAATAAAGGCAAAGTAAAATAAAATAAGAAGCCATATGACAAATATTTTTAAGATAACTGCTGCTGATTAGGAGTCACAAAAATGAGCATTCAAGTGAGAGTGGAAACTGATATAACCTTTTCAGAGAGCAATATGGCAATGTTTATAAAACATCTTAAAAATGCTGATGTCTGGATCCAGTGATTTCACCAAGGAAACCATCAGGAATGCATACAACGATGTAGGTAACACAATGAACATGGCAATATAATTTATAACAGCAAAATATTGAAAATTATGCCCAACATTTTTAAAATGTGATAAAGGAGTACACCAAATTGTTAACAGTTTTCATTAAAGTACATTCTATTTTCTTCTTTATACCTTTTCTTTTCACCAAATTTTTTATAATGACTATACATACTTTGATAATCAAAAAACTTGCTACACCCTGTTTGCCATGGTCCTCTGCCTGTACATGCTATCCAAATTCTCTGCAACAGTCCTCTGTTCCTGCGGGTTACACAACCCAGGGGCCATAGCCCTCTGCTCTTGTGAGATGCCGAGGCCCTTTGGCCCTATGAACTTTATAATCACTCTGTGTAGCTCTAGGGTTATACCCAGCCCCTCTTCTACCAGCTGCCACTATCACTGTGAGCTGCCAAGTCCCCATCCCACCCAGTGCTGCTGTTATCATCTCACAGAATGAAGACCATGAGGTTCTCCTATTTATTTGTGTTCTTCATCAGCCTGTGATTCTCAGCCTCTGGGTAGAGAGATCAGTTCTGCTCACCAACCTTATACTCATTTAGAAACAAAGAAAGCAAACTACTGCCTTAACCTTTTGATTTTTTTTCACCAGATCCTCAGTGCTTTGTCCCCAATTCTACAAGGCCACAAAGGTGTGGGCCCAGAAGCACCCTGTCACCATGAGTTAGTTACTCCTAGTTTGTAGGAGTCTGAGGAAGATACATAGTATCTTCGTGGGAGTTGCAATCTGTTTCAGTATAGGCCCATGCTGAACAATCCCAGGTGAAAAAACTAAAAATAGACCAAAATCCCCAAAACTGCCTCCCAAAACATCCAATTTCTTGGATTTTGCACATTGGAAGAATTCTAGAACCACGTCCTGTGACTGACCTAGACTAGACTAGAAGCTCCGGCCCTCCCCATGCAGACATGCCAGTCAACCTCGAATGAAAATAAATGGCTTTTGTGATGCCACAAAAATGCATTATGGAAGGAAAACACTCTAACAACATTGAAGGCAGGAAATGAAAGGGGACTGACTTACTGTGAGAACACACAGATAATGTCCCCTTCAGTCAGTTCATAAGGAAGTCCTCCTAGAAGGGAAAACCACATTTCAGTTCTAAAAACACCAAGTATCTATAACACCACGCATGAAGCCAAGCGCTGAGAGTGCAAACAAGAGTAAGCCACAGGACTTGCCCTCAGAGAACTAACAGTATGATGCAATGACAGAAGCATATATACACTGCAACAATTGTACAAACATGGGGTGAGTGAGTGGAAAGGTCACCACTATCAAACTAATCCTCCTCATACCTAAACTTCTATGGACAAAGCAGACTGTTTGCAGCACAAAATTCTCCCACAAACATATCTTGAACTCACCTGGTCTTTACTCATAAATTCACCAGTAAGATCCAAAATCACTTTAAATATGCAAATATTAACTCCACCTCACACAGACTAAGTATTTTATAAAGACAACTGTTAAGCATTTCACAGAAAATAAGTTCCCCTGCAAATGTTTCCTTCCTCACCTGTAAAGTGGGAATATGAATACTTACCTCACAGAATTATTATAAGAATTAAATAAAACAATGAATATAAAGTGCCTAGCACCATGACTGATGCAATTGTCTCCTTGAATAAGCTGTCACATTACTGGATGTGACACAAAGTGAATGTACAGATGGTAATATGACCATGGACAGAAGGCAGCAGCTAATCAGATGAGGAAAATTAATTCTGAAGGAAGGGGACAGAGGTGGAGGGCAATTAACAGTAATATGTGATAGTGGTTAAGACTGTGAGTTCTAGAATCCCATAGTTCTGGATATTCCACTTACTAGCTATTTGACCTTAAAAAGTCCATTAACTTCTCAGTGCCTCAGTTTCCTCAGCCATATGAGGGCAAGGGGATGATGACAATGGTCTCAGACAAAGAAAGACAAACACCATATGATTTCACTTATATGTGGGATCTAAACAGCAAAATAAATGGACAAAGAAAACAGAAACAGATACAGAGAACCAATACAGATACAGATATCCTAGACACAGAGAACAGACTGATGGTTGCCAGAGTGGAAGGGAGTTGGGGAATGGGAGAAAAAGGTGAAGGGATTAAGAAGTACAATTTGTGCCCTGGCTGGTGTGGCTCAGTGGACTGAGTGCTGGCCTGTGAACTAAAGGGTCACCAATTCAATTCCCAGTTAGGGCAAATGCTTGGGTTGCCAGTCAGGTCCTCAGTAGGGGGCCCCCAAGAGGCAACCACACATTAATGTTTCCCTCCCTTCCCCTCTCTCTAAAAACAAATCAATAAAACCTTTAAAAAATAAAGAAGTACAAATTGGTAGTTACAAAACAGTCACCAGGACGTGAAGTATAGCATAGGAAATATACTCAATAATATTGTAATAACTACGTACGGGGTTGGATGGGTAGCAGACTTAACCAGGTGATCACTTTGTAAATTATATAAACGTCTAATCACTATGTTGTACACCTAAAACTAATATAATATTGTACATCAACTGTAACTGCAAAATAAAAAGCTATAAAAATAATAACATTCTGAGAAACAAAGTGGCAAACTTCTTGGTACAGTGAATGGCAGTCTGTAACTATGATACCACTTATTTGGCAGGCAGAGCAAACTAGACATGAGGGAGAAAAGAGATGGAAAACAGATTTATGGGCAGACAGCAGAAAGAAACAAAAAGTGGGTGATGAATGTCAGGAAGAACAAAGAGCGGAAAAACTGAAATGTTACGAAGCAGGGCAGGAGAGAATGAGGAGCACCTACGAAAGACGGGAACCTCACCCAGGAAGATCCAGGCGCTGTCTTTGTACTCGGAGTGCCAGGACACCTCATCTGCCACCCCGAGCTGGACCTCACGTTCATTCAGCTCATTGATCAGCTTCACTTTAGTTAAAGGGCTGCACAGGGGACGGAAAAGCGGTCAAGTAAGTGCGGCCTGGCCTGGAGCAAGGAGAGCAAAACTAGGAGTCTAATTTTCTACTCTTCGAGCCACTCCCGCCCCTCGGATGCTCTACCACATCAACTCACTGGGTCACTCCCAGTGGCCAACCCCCAACCGACCCCCACCATCCCCACAGCTCACCACTGCCCCCCCTTAAAACAAATGAAGGCCTTACTTCATCTCCGCAGGTTCGCGCTCAAGAAAGTGATTATTTCCTATGGGCGTGGCTGCAAGGCGCGTGCGCAGCCCCAGCGTGGGGGCACCCTTTAATTTGCGTTAACTTCCGCGCCGGAAGTGCTCCGCCGCCGCTAATGGCTCTTTCACCTCTCGCGTAAGCCCCGTGGCCCAAGGGCACAACGCCTGCGCAATACTGCATTCCTCCAGCGGCGGGGTGGGGTTTGAATTAGCTCTTCCGGTAAATTTTCCTCTGCCACCTAGCTACCTTTCTCTGTGAAATGGGGCAGGGGTGTGAGCCTGGTGTACTACAAAACTCCCAGTTCCTGGACGATGCCTGGCAGTGATTGGGTTAACTATAAATGTTTGGTGAATGAATGTTTGAAAAAGGCACCTGATATTACGACTTTACTCCCAGCCTTCCCTCCCGGTGCAAATCCCCATTCAGGCCACACCCCCCCCCCACCGCATCAAAGCATCGCTGTTCAGGACTCACAGCAGAAAAGTAAAAATGATATGTGAGAGGGTAAATCTTTTCTGTTCCTTAATTCCAAAGCATAGGTAATGGACCACTCGGCTTCTACAGGCTTACTCGAATACATCGTTTCGTGTGAGAGTTGCTACACTCACCCTTTTCCATAGTCTCTGTCTCACTTAAGCAGAAGGCAGAAATTAATATTGTTAAATTAACACCTCACACTTGAGTAGATAATGCTAGTTTATGTGCTAAGCCATTTGCATATATTGGCTCCTCAATCCTCACAATAACCCCATAAATTCTGTAGTTACCATCACCATTTTATAGAGGAAGAAACTGAGACTCAAAGGAGTTAATTAACTTAAAAGGTACTCCATCTTTACCCATAGGGTCTGGTTGATTTAATCAGTCCTTACCGAGCATCTATATTTGTCCTTTACAGCAAGTCTATAGATAGGAATATAAGGTTGGGTTCTTGGCCCTCAAGGAGCTAATAATATTCCAGAAGAAACAAGGTATATTTGCATGATAAACTTTATACCAGAAATAATCAGTAAACCATAGAGGAGATGGCGGCATATAATGTGTGATTTCAGCCATATTGATGATTTGAATCCATCTTGCATGTGTCCACATCAATATCTGGTCTCAAACCATGTATGGTCTAAAAGTGAAGGTCCAGAGCTGTGTAGTTCTGTGTAAGCCTAACTCTAAGCCCTTCATAAAAACACTTTGATGATGATGGTGATGATGACAACTATACCTTCAACAACTCATCATGTACCTAATGTCCTTACAAGAAGCAGAACAGAGGCTTCATTCATTCTCTGCCCCTCCCCACTCTAACCCAGCTATTCATTAACTTTGTAGAATTATCTTAGCAATGAAAACTAAACAGTGACAGATTGCATATGGTTTTATCTGCTCCTAGGAATCTTAGGTTGCTTAGCTGTACAGTTGGAGTAGCCCCTGCAAAGTGGTAAATTAGGATGCAGCATTATCTGGTTGGATTCTTCAGGCCACTGTGAAATGAGAGAATTGGGGCAACACCTGGGCCTTTCTCATCACAGTTCAAAAAGAAGCTGAAGCAAAAGAGAAGAATAAGACCAATGAAAAGGAAAGACAATTTTGGTTGAGGGAAACATGAGAAGACTGCTACTCTCCAGCTGGTGGGTTCAGCAGAGATTTTCGGAAGCTAAGAGAGCTCAAAACTGTCCCAGTTTGCCTGGGACAACTCAATGGGTGTGCTTGCAATTGTTGAAAATTGGTGGGTTAAATGATCCTTAGAGATTTTCATAAATGAGTGGAAAGGAGATGGGGGTCCAGAGAACCCTCTAAACTTCATATCTGAGAAGAGAACCGGAGTTTGCCATCCAAGGTGGCTATTAATGATCTTCACCAATAACATTCATTTAGCACCCACTGTATGCAGAGCTCAGTTCAAGATTCTGCAGGTAATGCTAAGGAAGCCAAAGGCAGTCCCCACATTCAAGGAAAGGCTGTATGATGTGTCTAGCCAAATTAATCTCTCCACTTCACAGTCCTCCTGTTTCAAGTGATTATTGCACACTTACTAACTCTTTTAGCACTCTCATAAATACCCCAGCCCCTATTCTCCAGCCTTTCCTCCCACTGGTCCCCAACACAACTCTTCAATTTCAGCCAGACTTCACTTCTATTCATTCGCTCAAGGGCCCCTTTCACTATTCAACTGAGATACCCTTGCTGAGAGAGCCCAACACCTGGGACCACTCTCTCACTGAATAAAACCTGCCCAAACTCTGAACTCCCATCAAGTAATCTTTCATGCAGGAAACCTTTCCTGACCTTGCCAGCCCACAGTGATTGTTCCCGTTTCTGAACTCTGAAGCACATCACAATTATTTTATGTTCTCCCCAGCCCCAGAAAGACTTGAAGATCCTAGAAAGTAAATGCCCTGCATTTTTAATCGCTCAGCATCAGACCTCAAATATGTTCCTGCAGCCCTGGCTGGTGCAGCTCAGTGGACTGAGCACGGGCCTGTGAACCAAAGGATTGTGATTCAATTCCCAGTCAGGGCACATGCCTGGGTTGCAGGCCAGTTCCCAGCAGGGGACTCACGAGAGGCAATCATACATTGATATTTCTCTCCCTCTCTCCTTCCCTTTCCCTCTAAAGGTAAATAAATAAAATCTAAAATGAAAACAAAACTATTCTAAAATATATATTTTCCTGCACACATAGCAAGCAACCAATACACTTACTGGTTAATGAAATTGAAAGTACACACAACTATGGTTACTTTTAGGGAAACAGATGATTACAGGAGGAGAGGGGCTTTTCCCTTTCTTCCTTTTTAAACTGTTAAAATTTTCTTACCTTTATCTAGATATTGCTAACATTTTTATTGCCATGTTTTCTTGGCAGAGAGATCATAACCTTTATATTCTCACTTTTGTCTTTCACTCATTCATTCAAATATCTGTCAAACAACTATTATATGCTAGACACTGTTTTAGGTGCTGGGGTTATAACAGCAAACAAGGCAAGCAAAGTTCCTATCCTCCTGGAGTTTACGTTCTTGTTGGGAAAAAGGAAAATACACATATAAACATATATTTAATGTTGATATGTACTATGAAGAAAAAATAAAGCAGGGTAAGGGGACAGAGAGTAAGAGTGTTGCTACTTTTATAAAGGGTAATCGATCAAAGAAGGCCTCTTTGATAAAGTGACATAGAGGCAGAGACCTGCAAGAAGATGAGGAGCAATCCATGGTGAATCTGGTAGAATTCTGGTAGAACTTACAGTTCCAGGCAGGGGGAACTGTAAGTTCAAAGGTCCTGAGACAGGAGTATATTTGAAAAACAAGGAAACCAGAGTGGCCAGAGAGGAGCAAGCACGGGGAAAAATATTGTGAAATTTTTGTTTATTTAACAAAATCTGATTTAGTACCCACCATGTATCAAACACTGTTTTAGGTACTTTACACCCTATGAGGTAGACACTATTATCCCCATTTTTGAAGATGAAACTGAGGCACAGAGAGATTAATTCATTTACTGTAGGTCACTCAGCTGGTAAATGGTAGAGTCAATATTTGAACCCAGGTAGTGCTACTCCAAAGTCTGTATCCTTAGCCACTATGCGCAATATAGGTGGGGATAAAGGGAGCAGATCAGGCAAGGCCATGTTGGGTAGACACTTTGTATTTTGCTCAATGTGAGGTGAGAATCCACCAAAGAATTTTATTCTGACTTACATTTCAGCAGGATTACCTTAGCCACAGACAGGAGGGGCAGGGAGAGCAAGCAGATGGTGGGGGGCATCTGGGATAGAAGCAGTAAAACTAGTTAGGAAGCTCTGCAATAATTCAGGCAAAAGATGATGGTGGCTTGCCTCAGGATGACAGCAAAGGAGGTGGTGTGCCTCCCTTTTCAGCTAAAATACATATTAAAATAAATAAGAACACTCATGAAACCAACATAAAGGCATATACTGTGTTTGTGAGTGCTTAGGTGCTGGGCTAGATGCTGGGAATACTGCAGTGAACAAGACCACAAGACCCAGTCCCTGCCCTTGACCATCTCACAATGTTGCCAGATAGTTATAAATATGAATAAATACAATACAGAGGAATGAGTGTCACAGCGAAGGTATGAGTGAAATGCTCTTGGAACCAGATGAAGAATTATTTAATTCTGACTATTGAGGGTTGGAGCTGCAGGTAGAAAGCTGATTGTTGGGGGGAAGCTATAGTGGCAAATGACAGTTGAAATGGGTCTTGAAGGCAGTCACTATGTAGATGGAAGTCAGGGGATGGGTGCCATGCAGAGAGAGCTTTTCGAGCAGAGGAACCAGCAGAAGAGCCTCCAGAGGCAAAATCATCAGTGTGAAAAGTCTATGGTATGACCAGATAATAGAATGGGGTAGGGCATCCGAGGAAGATGGAAGAGTTCAGGCCATTTTGTGAAAGGCTTTATAGATGAAGCAAGAAATTCAGATTCTAGCCTGTAGGCATTGAAAAGTGATCATATGGTTCAATCATTCAGTTATTCAGCCTACAAACAAGGCAGCCACTTTTGTTGAGAAACTGCTATATGCATACACTGAATTAGGTGCTGAGAATATAAAGGTGTACATGCTCAGTCTCAAGGGAATTTTCCCTTCAGAAAATTGTATATGTGAAAAATACAATCTAAGTATGCTCCCTTTACCCTAGGAATGCAATGGTCATTTTACTTTAGATCACCTTGAAACCAGTATAAAGGATGAATTGAAGGCACAGAAATCTTGATTTGGGGAGGCCAGTTGACTGTGATGAGCAGGAACAAAATCAACAGATTTCCGTGGCATAACGTGTTGAGTAAAGCAGATGTGGGTAATGAGGAAACATCTAAGAATGATGCCTAGGTTTCTGGTTTGAGAGACTAGTTGGGTAGTGAAACTCTTTGCTAAAGTAAGAAAGGCAGGCAGGAAGATTGCTGTGGGGGGAAATGATGAACTGAGCTGGCAAATTGTTGAGTCAAAAGTCCCTGAGGACTCCGGCTGGTGTGGCTCAGTGGATTGAGTGCCAGCCTGCGAATAAAGGGGTTGCTGGTTCAATTCTCAGTCAGGGCACATGCCTGGGTTGCA